GGGGTGAGACCCCGGGCCTTTGATGTTTGAACTCAGATCCTGAAATCAGAACCTCAGGCAAAAACTGTTTTTATCTCTCCCATCCTAGGCAACCAAGTTGAAAGCTCTGGCGGGCACTTCCTTTTCAGCTGCTCTTTCCATTTTGTCAATTACCTCCCTACTGAGAGAATGGAATTCCTTTGACTGGAAACAGGGGTCCAGCGAGCGATGGTGCCAGAGATTTCTTCCTTTTCTCTCTCGATTATGTTACCTTTCCTATCCCACACTGGCAGGTGTATTTCCATCCTTTCACTGGACTGGGCATCAGAAGCCAGTCATGGTTCCTGTTGGCAGCTGACATCAATTTGTGGGTTAATCCCCTTCCCCCGTGGGTCCACAGGGGAGCAACCCCAAGGGCTGGTTTGAGAGAGAAACATTTGCAGGGATTATTTTTGAGATTTGGTCAACAGCAGCGCTGATTCAGCGAGGTCGCAGATTTTATGAGCCTGCGGGTATTATGAATAATATATAAATAACTTACATTTCCATGGACTGCTGTGCAGAAATATCTTCTAAAATACTCGCAACGCTGGGATTTAATGCTCTCTCGTATTTAAGACAGCCATCTCTGTGAGGGCCAGAAATTCCCCTCATCACAGGGTCTAGGACAAGGCCCCCAATGGGGGTCGCTGCAGACCACCAAATGACCTGGTTTTATGAGCACCAGCTTCGGAATGTCCCTGAGACTGGGTTGGACTGTCAGACCCACCATCTATTAGTTGATGTAAGCTTGGGAAAAACTACATTTTCCTCACCATGAAGTTAGAGATGTTAACAGTTCGTATGTCATGGGTGGAAGGATTAAACTCGATAATACATGTTCTAGGGCAGGGTAAACACTTAACAACTCCTAGTTTTATTAGTATTATTTTAAAGTACAAATTGAAAAATGCTATTTCCCTCATCAAAATCAATGGCTTGCCCTCATTCCTGGTGTAAAATCCACACTCCCTCCTTTTGCCAATGTGACCAAGATCTGGCCCTCTCCAACCTCCTCTCTCCTGCCACCATCGTACTCACTCACCATCTCAGCCTCACAGCCTCACAGGCCCTCTATCACTTCTACCAACACAAGCTCCTGCCCTCCTCTGAGCATCCACACCTGCTGCTCCCTTTGCCTGGAATGCCAAGCTCTTCCAAAGACTTACTCCCTGCTCATTCAGGTCTCAGTTCAAAAGCCACTTAATCTATTCACTTGCCTACTCACTGAATGTCAGCTCTATGGGGCCAGAGCTTATCTTGTTCACTAGAACAGAGCCTGGTACATATTAAGCACTTACTTGATATTTTTTATGAATGAATTACTTTTTCTCTGGAACTAGTATTTCAATATCACCAGATAATACAGCCAAGATGGTGCCTTCCCTCATGAAATCCCCAAGTTCCTAAACATAAAGGGAGCTACACCATTGCTTTGTCATGTTGCTATTGTTATTGCTGCTGATGCTACACGTGTGTATATGTATGTGTATGAGTGTGAGTGTGTGTGTGTGTGTGTGTGTGTGTGTGTGTGTGTGTTTAAGCATAAAGATCCTTGTTGAAAAAGAAATTACAAAGTTCCTTAACAGCTTCTATTCACTTGACTGTTGTCCAAACAGCCACTTAGATGCCTTGGCATTGGTTTTTCATTATGCAAATTAATGCATCTCTGCACTCAGCTAAGGCTCTTGACTACCCTGTCAACCAATCAGCTTCCAGAGAGGTTTCCTTTCTCTCTGTGAAAGGCTGAGAGACCAGCCCATCAACTCACAGACTCCGGTCCCACCACCATTGCTGCCACCCACTGTCCCTGCCATGTCCCAGCGTTGAAAAGGATAGCAAAGGCCAGGTTGAGGGGGATGCCTGAGGCAGAGAGTTCAGCCGCAGAGCCAGCAAAACAAGACATGAGGTAAAAAACACAGGGCTGAGGTCTGGCAGAGGGGAAAAACCAAATGGGGTCAGAAGACTCCTGTGCTAGGACCACCAACTAACCATGACTCCAGTGTTATGAGCTAAATCTGGGCCCTCTGAAATTTACATAGTGCAGTCCTAACTCCCAGTGCCTCAGAATGTCACCCTATATCAGTGATGGCGAACCTATGATACGTGTGTCAGAGGTGACGCCCGAACTCGTTTTTTTGGTTGATTTTTCTTTGTTAAATGGCATTTAAATATATAAAATAAATATCAAAAATATAAGTCTTTGTTTTACTATGGTCGCAAATATCAAAAAATTTCTATATGTGACACGGCACCAGCGTTAAGTTAGGGTTTTTCAAAATGCTGACACGCCGAGCTCAAAAGGTTGGCCATCACTGCCCTATATGGCTATGGGGTCTTTAAAGAAATAACTGAGGTTAAATGAGGTCATTAGGGTGGATGTTAATCCAATGTGACTGGTGTCCTTATAAAAAGGGGAAATTTAGACACCGACACACAGAGGGAAGATGATGTGACAACACAGGGAGAAGACAGTCACCTACAAGCCAACGATTCAATAAACGATGGCATGTCCATAAATGGAATACTATAAAGCATTTTAAAATGTCTTTGTAGGGAATTTTTTTTAATATATTTTATTGATTTTTTTACAGAGAGGAAGGGAGAGGGATAGAGAGTTAGGAACATCGATGAGAGAGAAACATTCATCAGCTGCCTCCTGCACACCCCCCACTGGGGATATGCCTGCAACCAAGGTACATGCCCTTGACCGGAATCGAACCTTGGACCCTTTAGTCTGCAGGCCAACGCTCTATCCACTGAGCCAAACCAGTTAGGGCGGGAATATTTATTGACATAAGAAGAGATGCATAACATAAAAACTGAAAAACAATCAAGCTAACAAACAGTATAAGCTGTATGATCTAACTTTGGGTGAAGACACATACAGATATAGAGAAGTAGATAAAAATATAACGTGAATAGAGAGCTTTTTATCAAACTGGGAGTCAGAACAGAAAGTATTTTTTAATCTTAACATTAATATTTTGATCATTTCTGCAATAAACACATATTGCTTGTGTAATATTTTTCCAGGATATTTTAAAAATGAAGATTTGGGAAATTTATACTCTCTGTTTCTTCCCATGAGGGAGCAAGGAGGTTGAAGCAAGAGCAGTTTTATAAGCTTTGCCCCACCCTGCCTTTCTGTAAACACCAGCTACAACGTGGACTCCATTTGCACCAGCAGATCCCTCTTCTTTCTCAACATTAATTGGATCTGCTCAAAGGTACTTCCTAACTTAAAGAGCCTAACTTGGAGTAACTCATGACACCCCCGCCCTGAGCATCAGTTTTGGGGAATGACGTTGACAATTTATCCACCTTTACTTGGTCACCCAACAAACTGCCATTTTTCAGAAACCCAGGCTGTCTCACATATGGGCGTTCAATAGGGTGGGTTGCTTAGCAACCACCAAAGGCACTGGGAAGCCGGAAGAAGGCACCCGCCAGAGGTATTTTATAACCAAAAATGAGCTGCGCTACGTGTGTCTGGTTGCATTCAAGGTAACTAAATAAGAGATAAGACCCGGCTATTTTTGCATCCTGAGGAAAAATACTTGGCTCCTGCCCAGAAGGGCAATTACCTAAAAATCTTGGCAGGCCCCATGGTATGAGGAATGGTAACTGATACGAGGATGAAAAAAAAAAAAAATCACTGACCTTCATAAATACTGATGATATGAGGATGGTTGAGGGATGACATAATCTCAATCTCTCGTCTGATGTGAACCATGTCTTGTTCATCCTTAATTTTGTCCTTACGAATGGATTTTATAGCAACCTGTAAAGTCAGGAAATGAAATGTTACTCAGAGAACTAAACAGATGCAAATCAGCCATTTGGGGGAGTTTGGAAAATAAATACAGATGTTACTTGTTGGCAGAATTGACAATAACAAAACAAAGCTTCGAATACCCCCTGTCATGTCTTTCATTTATAGCAGAAACACCCTTCTCTAGACAACAGAAAACATCAGGTTTTAACAGCCTGGGGTTTGGGATGGTCATTTTTTTTTTCATAAAGCAGAGGCAGCTTCACGTGGCCGGATTCATTTACTCTAGGAATGGTGATCCTTTGAAAAGAGGAAAACGGAGAGCTTGGTTTACAGGGTATCGATGATTAAACGTGGATCCGTGAAATTAGTATCACTCAGCTCCTCCGGCAGCTGCCTCGGCTCTGGCTACAAAAAGCTTTACTGCATGTCCTATCTGGAGGCCACTTCTGCTCCAACCTTGGGTTTTAAGACTCCAGGTTGTGCTTTGTTTATGCACTTGCTGAGAAGCCAAATCCTTCCTCCATCCTTGCTCTTGCCCAAGGCACCGTCAATAGCACATCATGTAACCAAAAGACTCGGCCTGGGGGAAAATCAGCATAAAACCAAGGGAGTGACAGCTAGACTCCCTGCCCAGCCCCCGTGGATTCCCAACGTTCTGTACCAATGTCGCCTGCAAATCCAAACCGTTGAGAAGTGCCAGGGCCAAGATGCAGAGCAGTTACTCAAAATAAATTCATCAATAAAAAGGCATTAAATGACATGAGAATCTAATAAGGAAAAACACGTTTGCCAATGGATTCATCTTTGCTCATGAACAAGTTGGTTGGTAATTTAGTTTTCCTTGGCTCTCAGGGGGACACAAGCTACTTAGGTGGGGGAGGTATCCATGGTAACGAAGAAGCTTGCCAACCAATTTGCTGCGGGTTCTGAAAGCCTGCTGAGTCACCTCCCTCCTGGTGCGTCTGTGCCTTAACGTACCTGTCCCACAGTTTCCTAGTAACTCAACAAGAACTGGGAAGCTATTTTTTATATATATATATATTTTATTGATTTTTTACAGAGAGGAAGGGAGAGGGATAGAGAGTTAGAAACATCGATGAGAGAGAAACATCTATCAGCTGCCTCCTGCACACCTCCTACTGGGGATGTGCCCGCAACCAAGGTACATGCCCTTGACCAGAATCGAACCTGGGACCTTTCAGTCCGCAGGCCGACGCTCTATCCACTGAGCCAAACTGGCTAGGGCTGGGAAGCTATTTTTATTACTGTTTTTGCTATTTACTGATATCCCCAAAACCGGTTAAATGGACTAGCAGCTCTCTGTACTTCTCTTTTGCAGAACCTTGCCCCGTTGTAGTTAAATCAGTATTTGTGTCATTAATTGACTCTCCACTAGTGGAGATATTACTCACTGCTTTATCTCGGTGCTTAACACCATGTCTGCCACGTGGCTGGCCTGAGAAAACACTTAGTGTGGGCAGGCAGGCAGGCAGGTAGACAGACAGAAAGGGAAGGAGAGGAGAGAAGGAGGGAGGGAGGGAGGGAGAAGGGGAGGCAAGGGTTGATGCTATTAGGTGGTGAGTGCTCAGACAAGAGAAGTGATAGTGGAATTGGAGCGAAAAAGAAGGGAGACTCCTGCTGATGGGGAAAATAAGACATCTGGGGGCAGCCAGCAATCTGAATCAGTGCCAGTAACCTAATGTACATTCTTGATAGCCTATAATTAAGGCACTGCCCCTTTCTCCACAATCTGGTCTTGCAAGACCTGTTTACCTAAGTACTCCCATTTTACAGAGGCCATAAACCATGAACAATACACAACCCCAGGAGGGGGTTATCAGTGCTGGCACCAGGCCAGGCCTTCAGGTGTGGTCTCAAGGCCCCCATCCCAACACAGGGGGCTTTTTGCAAAGCCTGCTAAAGTTCCGGAAGTCCCATCCATATTTGGGGGTCAAAGAAACCAAAGGGTATCAAGGGAGAGCTTCCTCCATATTGGTTTGCTCAGGATTTGGAGAGAAAGAGTCCCCCTAAGTCACTGTACTAGTACATGCAAAACATCTGAAAATAAATGGGTTTTTCCTGTATCTCCAAGTACTCCTGTGTATTTTTTGGTCACCTGGTAAATTCAGTAACACTGCCAAAAAACACCACCAAGACAGGCACGACGGGAAGATGACTTGGGATTTCTTGGACATCCTACCTACAGGGGCAATCGAGGAATGAAGGAAGCAGATAGGGAACACGAGACACCCTGCCGGATAAAAGGCAGCCGCACAGACAAGATTAAGCTTCCGGCTACAAGGCCCCTTTTCATCAGGGTGCCCGGCTCAGAGCTGCCCCGGATCTTCACGACAGCCCCATTCAGCATGCAGCAAGAAAAGCCTCCGTGTGCTTACGTCAAATGTAAGGATATGACTGGAAGGCTTTATTTCATCTGAGCAGGGCCGGCGATCCTGAGAGCTGGTTCTTAGAGGAAGCAGACAGTGAGCACACACAGGCCTGGAGGATGTGGGTGGCTGTTGGACCCACTGCTACATTCCTCCATGAACTAAGATGGGAGGAGGGGAGAAACCACCCCTTTGATCATGCAGCAGGCTGAACTTGCCCTTGAGGAGGCCCTATTGTCCACTGACAATAGGAATACATTCTTTCAGCATCCAGGGTCAGGGGAGGGTAGTGACATTCTGGGGGTAAGAAAATAAGCCCACTTGTCAATCCCCCCCCCCAAAACAGGAGCCAGAGGCCGCCAGAGGCCGCGAGGGTCCCACAGCGAATTTGCCAGGGGTGTGCTTCCAGCCCAGTGTGCAAGGGGAGTGCCCACATGCTAATAAAACCCCACTCGGCACTGAGATCGCGCAAAGGGTTCGTTCCACAATGTCAATAAGCATGGTGGCTGTCCCTCCACAAAAGCTTCCCTCTTCCCACAATGAATCTTCTGTTGAAAATGTAAAAGAGGGGTCATTCTATCCCCTATTTCAAAGGGACGGTGGAAGTCAGGAGGAGACAGATGCTAGAAGTCACTCAGAACTGTGCAACTGCCAGGGCCAGAGGGAAGGCTTTCAGTTCAGCTCCCAAGAGCAGTGAGATGACTACCCAAGGTCACAGTTAATGGCAAACCACAAAAACGATAACGATAGTAATAACAGTAGGCATTCATATATGGCACAGACACTGTGCTAAGCGCTTTATACCCCTCAGATCATCGCATCCTTCTCATCACTCCAGCTTCAGCTTCACGCAACCCCCCTAGGGAGGACCCCCTCTGACTCCACTGGTTGATAAGGCCACCTGGCCGCCTCCTCTACACCTTTCCCCATGTTATCTCTTTAGGGGCATTTCACATTATCTGAAATTATCTTGCTTCATTGGTTGCTGCATATTCATTCAGCCTGTGGGCCAAATTCAGCTCAAGGCCTATTTCTGTTAGGACCCCGAGAGCTAAGAATGACTGTCACATTTTCAAACAGTTGTTTAAAAAGGAGGAGGAGGAGATCTATACTAGTAAATGAAGCTTCTGCAATGGAATATAGTGCCTGCTTCATGAAGTTGAAGGAGAAACCAAGCCAGATGCACAGTGAAGCAGTATTGCATAATGGCTAGTGACATGGCTTTGAGTCCTAGCTAAAATCCCCCGCTGGCTGTGTGACCTTGGGCAGGTTACATAACCTCTCTGTGCTTTAGTTTCCTCATCTGTAAAGTACAGAAATAACAGTGCCAGCTTCATGGGTCCCTCCCTGTGAGGATTACAAGTCGGGTGCTTAGAATGTGCCAGGTCCAGGCAGGGTAGGTGTTCAATAATGTCAACCATGTTTACGACAGAGAAGAGTGTCCCAGAAATAGGGCCTTTCTTCCTTTCACCCACCGAGCAAACTTGAATTCCACCTGATTCCTCATGGGGCCATGAGGGAAGGCCTTGGGAATGGAAACGATGTTTGTTCCCAAAGGACACAAAGGGCTGGAACCTCTCTCTCCTGGGTCTTTAAATTGTACCCTCATCTGAAATGTCAGGAAGCTCAGAGGGGCCGGGGCCCTCAAGATCATCATGGCACCCGAGTCTGAGACCAAACAGGAAATGAACAACTTGAACCTAGGACCGTCTTCCCCATCTCCTTCTTGTGGTTGTCCACCCAGGTGAACAAGGGAATAAACTCTTCCTCCTTAGAATAAAAAAGCTGACTCACACTATCCAGCTCAGCTTTCCTGGATTTGTTTATCCACTTATCCCTTTGAGCGCCAACCAGGTACCAAGCACAGTGCTGAGACAACGCGAGAGGCAGCCAACGCGACTCTGCTCTGGCCCTCACGGTGGCGGGGAGGGGGGACAGGGACAAGATGGAAAAATTGCACAGATAATGACATAATTTCCCTCAGGACCAAAAGCTACCGGAGACATGCACAGAAAGGTCAGCATTATAGAAAAAAGCCCCTTTCCAGTTTTCCTCCATCCTCACATCTACAAAGAAAGACTGAGATAAGTAAAGGGGCCAGCAGGAAGAGATTACCAAATGTCTGAAACCATACACCCTCCAAAAAGAAAAAAGAAATCCAATTTGTTCTTGCACGAGTCAGATTTCACTCCGCCTTCGAAATGACTAGAGCCAGGAAGTCAGGTGTCTGAGCCCAACACGCAGCACAGCAACTTTCATAAATGTCCCCTCGTCTAGACGGCACCGTGCGCCTTATAAAACGGTCTGCTTTTAAAGAAGGCCACCCCCTAGTTTAATGTTTAAACCGTCTGCAGCCGCAGGTCTGGCCAGGGACCGGCCAATGCTGCCCTGTGGTGCCTGCCTGTTTAAGAGGCACACTGGGCCCAGCCAATTGCCATCCCTTGTTAAATGTAACGGGCTCAGCCTCCCCTTCTGCAGAGGTTGGTTTGCCTTTTTGTGAATAACCACCCAAAACCACCTGCTCTGAGGCCTGCCACCGTGGCTGCTGTACATGAAGAGAGCCCGGTGATTTCAGCAAGGCTACGGGGAAGCAGAGAAGTATGGTGAAAGTTTAGGCTT